TCCCTTATTCCTTGATTAATGGTTTAATGCAGAAGATGTTGAGACAGCAAGGGGGATGCTGGAGACCACTAGCAAGGCTGGGCAGGTTGCTGCTGGGGACAACTGTGGCTGAGTTTTCTCCTCCTGTGCACCAAAGACAGCCACTCTTAATTTGGGATAATGGCATGGAAAATGTATCTTTGTTAATAGTTGCAGAGGAGCCAGCGAGTGGGTTTCCATCAGCAGGTTTGGAGGAGGCTGGCAGGAGCTGGTGGCCACCAAAGGACATGGGTAATGCTGAAACGTGACTGGGAATCAGCTCTGCTGAGCTGAGCAGGGTCCTTCTGCCTTCAATTTGCAGCCATACGTGGCTGCGAGACCTTCAGGGCTGTTAGTGTTCATTACCCAGCTCCTCAGATGCCTCGGCAGCCCTTTCATATCCATCTCCTCGGATACCTCCCGATGCCTCAAGCAGCTCTTTCATCTGAAGGAGCTAGGTTTTTCACTCACTTATTATCATATTCTGATCTGAGAAAATCACTGTTTGCTTTAATTATGAAAAAGCCTTTCCCCCCCCTCCCCTTTTTTTGCTTAACTGGTGAAGCCAGCATGAATAATTCAGGCTCAAACACGAGTTCCTTATTCACTGGGGAGCCAGCAAGTGATGCTTTGGGTTGCTTATAGAGTTTGTGGCACCCATGGCAGTGCCCTATAGGTATAGGCTGCACTGCATGCTCTGCCTGTCGCTTCATGCTGAGGGTGAGTCACCACTCCTTACCTTGAATTAAGCTGCAGAGCTGGGCTGTTCCCACTCTGGACAAGTCTTGCTCCCTAAAATACTTTCATTAGCCCCTAAATTTAAGCAAAGTGAGCATTTATTACCCTGCGTAGCCTTAGAAGATCATTAAATAGGGAGATCTATGAAAAAAAAAAAAATTGAGTATCAAGGGGAAAAAAATGTAAAATGATATAAGAGGAGCAGCAGTGAACAAATCCACCAGACATGCGCTGCAAAGAAATACGTGTATTACAGAAAATAGCACTGCTCTCTGGAGGGGAAAGAAAAAACCCACCAAGGTGTTTGAGTCTTTTTCCAGCATAAAATACGTTTCATGGTTTAAAAGTCACATAATCATCCGCCCAGCTATAATTACAACACCACAATTCTGCTCCAAGTATTGGCAGAAAAAATCAGAGCTGGGGATATAAAAGGCTCTTGTCATTTTGGTGGCCAAATTAAAAAGAAATTGTTCTTGATGAACTCAGGCAGGTGGGTTTTCAAGCCCAAAATATTGTGATTTGTAACAAAAAGCCAAATCTATCATCTTTTAACAATCCTAATAGTTAGGTTTTTGTATGGGTCTCATTTCTCTGCTCTCAATGGATTTGCCTTGGGACCATCCAGAGACCTGCAGGTTAAGGCACCTTTTTTTCCATGTAAAAAGTGTTTCCGTTAGAAACCCTTTCTAAAGGAAAACACCTGAATTCATGGAAATTGCAAAATAGGAGGGTGCCTGGTGATGGCCGAGAGCCATTTTGCAGCCTGTCCAGCAAGGGCAAAGAGCGCTTGCTCTCCCGTTAGCCTGGGTAGGGCTCCTGGGCATTGCAACACTGGGAATAAAATAAGGGAATAAGTCTTTGAATACCAGCTGAGCACCCCAGCAGGGTTTTTTTAGGACTGGGAGAACTGGAGGGCAGTGTCCATGTTTAATATCATGGTGTTTGCACCTTGCCAAGACATTTGAGTAGTCATATAATTTAATATTATTTGATGATGTTTCTGGTTTGATAAAAGCCTGGAGACCAGTGGGAGTGGGGTTTGCTCTGGGCTGCCAATCTTGCCGCAGCTTTTGCCCCCTCTGCCACTCCAAATTCCCCAGCAGCGGATGCCGGGATGGGTGCTCACCTCGGTGCTCTCTTTTGCAGAGGTGCCGGTGGAGAAGCTGGCCACGATGGCATCGCTGCGGAGCCTCAACCTGCGGGAGAACCCCATCGGACCCGAGGTGCGGCTGCTTGTCCGGCCCCTCGTCCCCTTCGACCTGCTGCTGTCACCAGAGGAGCCCGTCCCCAAAGCCTGAGAGGGTCTTGGGGTGCCCGGGCGAGCTCTCCTGAGGGGTGACTACCCACGAGAGTGGTTTGGCTTAGGTCAGTCCCTGCTACGCCGCTATTTCTGTCCCAAACCCACAGCGAGGCAGACAGTCCCTCTTTTTTTTTCCTTAATAAAACACAAGCAGCAGGGCTCCTCTGCGAAGGGATGGCTCTGCCAAGCTCCTGAGCCAGGGAATCTCCTGCTTTGCGCTTTGCCAGCGCTTGCGGAGGAAGTGCAGCTGGGATGCAGTGCGAGGTTTGAGTAAAATTGGGGGAGCTGGATGCTCGGCCGCATCCCTCCCACCCGGCCACTGACAGGTAGCATCTGCTGCCCTGGTTCAGGGCCAGGACAGTGGGAGACATCCCTGCGGCTGGAAGCGTTCCCCCTTGAATTGCTGATATGGCAATCTGCCAAATGCCTGATTAAATGTTTTCCTGTTAAGTGTGGGGGTTCTTTTGTATTTGCTAAATTTATGAGTTATCGGTTGTCTTCTTAAAGAAGCCCCTTTGCACATCCCCGCAGGTGCTTGCTGCAGCTCAGGCTGATGCCTCCAGCAGGATTCTGCCCAGACCTGAGCAGTATTTCTCTGGATTTTCCCAGGGAATTTTTTTTTTCTCCCATGCTTTTTCACCATGGGAATCAAAGTGACCCAGTGCCAACAGGTCCCCACACACTCTGCACCCCACAGGTGTCCCCAGAAGCATGCACCCACCTCCTGGGTGGTGCGGGTCTTCAAATCGTGCTGCTTTCTTTCCAAGGAAGAAATGGGCTGCGGGGCTCAGGATACGGCCCTGGGAGGGTGGCTCCTTGGTGGCAGGGAGGCCACTGCTAGGCACGCTGGTGTCCCTTGGCAGCTGGCTGCCAGCAAAAAAACTCCTGGGAGAAATCACAGACGTTATCTCAAAATGCCCCATTGAAAGATCTCCTGTGTTTGCTCCTTCATGTTTTTAAGCTTCCCAATGCTGGGGTATGGCTGAGGCAGCCATGAATGGTTAATCCTGGAAATGTTTGACTTCTAGACTCACCAAAGCCAAACTTTGGTAAAAGACCACGGTAAAAGGGGATTTGCTGATGTTGGCAATGATGGAAGAGCTGGAGTCGAGCAGAGCAGCTTTGGGCCAGGACCAGCATCCCGAAGGAGCGTGCTGCTTTTCCCCACCGTGTGGGTGATTTACACGGGATGGAGGTTGGGGGTCCTCCCCACTCATGCTGGGGTTCCCAGCGTGTTTTCCCCCGACCCCGGGATGGGCAGAAGCGCTGCTGGGGACACCGGCCGTCAGCTGGAGGAGAGTGCCAGCATCAGCTTGGGGACCTTAGGAGTGGTGAGGGGGACCCAACCCTCCCCAGGTACCAAACCTGCCCCGGCTCTCTCCTTGCCTCCCATGGGCTGCCCCCTCCCGTGGGCTGCCTCCGGCGTGGGGGGGTCCGTGCGGGTACCCCG